CATCAATGTGTAACCCAGTCTCTCGTGCAATGGGCCATGCGTCTTGAGGAACCCCTCTCTCAGCGTGTCTGAATTGTGTTCTACTGGACTTACTTCCTTTGGGACGTCCCACGTGTCCCACGATGTCCCATGGGACAGCTCTGGGACGTCCCCCAGGTGTCCCATGGGACGTCCCACGTGTCCCATGGGACACTTGTGGGACGTCCCAGAGCTGTCCCATGGGACATCGTGGGACACGTGGGACGTCCCAAAGGAAGTAAGTCCAGTAGAACACAATTCAGACACGCTGAGAGAGGGGTTCCTCAAGACGCATGGCCCATTGCACGAGAGACTGGGTTACACATTGATGGTAGATGTTTAGGAGGTATTTTCGGTATTACAGGGTGGGGGGTTCTATCCCGGTTCTATAACAGAACCTCGGGGATAAAAGCGAGCAACGGCAGCAGAACAATATTACTGCTGCTTGCTGTGAAGCGGAGCGCGGTGCTGCTGCTTGATACAGGTCGCTGGGTACTGCTGTAGGGAAGAGCAGCTGGGGTGGTTGGCAGTTGAGGTAGCCATCGCACGAGAGACTGGGTTACACATTGATAGTAGATGTTTAGGAGATAGTTTCGGTAATACAGGGGGGGGGTTCTATAACAGAACCTCCAGTGCATTTTACCATCCGTGCGAAGGGATCTTTACTTCTAAATTTACTGTCTTCTCATTGGTTGGAGATGCGAGTGCGCGCGCTCCCTCGGTGAACCTCTTTTTGGTTCTATTCACAAAGCTCTGCTGGGGTGGGGAAATCCCGGCGCTGTTGTAGCTACATTTCTCCGCACGTCGCGCACGAGGTGCGCGTGCTGTGAAGGACGGACAGGGCGGCCGTGCTACCTTATCGACACGTAGCCTCTAGAGGGAGGCATTGCATAGCGTGGCTTCCACCGTTGGCCACCACAGCAGCGGTCAGTCGTTGATGCAAGGAGGTGAGCGGCATGCTGCCGAGCACGCGCTCTGCTGGCGGGGCGCATCATGATGCTGATCATGATGCAGGCGCGGATGACTGCGTGGATGGTGCGGCTGGTCGCCAGCACAAGCCGTTGTCGCACCCCTTGCCCGCAGCCCCATGCGCGAACACTGGAGAGAGTTCCAAATTCTTGCAGCAAAACCCTCCTCGAGAACGGACAGCGACCTCTTCCGGTAGCGAGCCGTCGGGCCATTCCCATCTGTCGGTCAGCGGCGCGCCTGGCGGTGTAGCCACCGTCGCGAACACATTTCCTTGCGACACTCCTGTGGCTATCGGAGAGGCTCGCAGAAGTGTGAGTGGACGTGAATCACCACCAGCGAAACGCCACGCGTCGCAAAGCCCATCATCCCGGGGGAGTTTGGGACGAGATGCAAGAAATTCATGCGAGGGCTTCGGTGCCGGTGAACGTCGCGGCAGGGTGCTGCACTCGTTCCTTGCTACAGCTGTGCAGATGTCCCAAGCATCGGAGGCCTTGGGGACGCCAGGGGAGCTATCAGGTGATGGTTTCGAATTCGCGGAACCACATACGCCCCTTTCGTCTGCCATTGGGGTACATACGGGACCGGGATACTGCTCTACCGGTACGCACGGGCCGAGTGCACCACTACTACATTCGGAGGTAGAGGGAGTAGCGCAGCTAAACTATGAACGCTCACGCCAACTTGGAGCAATGTTGCCACCATGGCAGCGCCTAGCCAACGAAGTGCCGTGGCGACCGCAGCAGCAGCAGCAGCAGTAGCAGCAGCAGCAGCAGCAGCAGCAGCAGCAGCAGCAGCAGCAACAGCTGTCAGCCGCCGGTTGCTTTGGAGGGGTATGGCCGCCGCCCCGGCCGCCGCAACGGCTTTTGATGGCGCAGCAGGGCGCAGCTGGCGGGGCGGTGTTACAGCCGCAGCGGGATAGACGGGTACGTCAGCCACTTCCGCCGCTGCCGTTGCCTGTGCAGCAGAGGACGGCAGGTGGCTTCGTCGGGGACGCCCTGAACGCCCATGGTTTACATTGGGTTTTGCAGCAGGGCGCACCGCAGGGTTCAGGGACAGGGGTTCATGAGGAGGAAGACGAGGGGGGGGGGGGGGGGTGTACTCATAGTCGTGCATGCCGTAGTCGTTAGACCATTGACCTCGCATCCCTACAAAGCCGGGACGGAGCACGCCGGGTTCTCACCGGACCAGGCTCTCACATCACCAAGCGCGAAGCGCCGTGAGGTATTTGGCGAGTCGCATGAAGGGTGAGCTGCATCCTGCTAAGGGTGTTCGGCATCTTGTGCTTACTTCCTTGCGTACGGATGACAGCTACGTATGACTTAATTTATTTTCTGGTGCTTTCACTTCCAGAGACAGTTGTAAGCACTGTGTAACTGCCTCGAGGAAGCTTGACCATTTTAACACAACGTGGTGCGATCATCCCCCGTTGCGCGGAGGGAGGTTTCTCGACCCCGCACAACATGATCTACTCGACCACCATTATGGTTACCGCCAAAAAAAAA